ACGGCTGACAGGATGCTTGGTTTGACTATTTATGTTCGATCTTTAATTACGGTACCTTAAAGTTAAAGGAAATGTCCTAAACAGTGGCGTCACTAACGTTGGTGTAACGCAGTGCCGCAAACTCGTGGTATGTTACCCACTCCAGACTTTCCCATGAACCTCCTCCGAGTTTGCCAGTTCTTGTGACACACTGTTCTGGTGGCACTACACTCTTGTGACACACTGTTCTGGAGGCACTATGCTCTTGTGACACACTGTTCTGGTGGCACTATGCTCTTGTGACACACTGTTCTGGCAGCACTATGTTCTTGTGGCACACTGTTCTGGTGGCACTATGCTCTTGTGACACACTGTTCTGGTGGCACTATGCTCTTGTGACACACCGTTCTGGCGGCACTATGGTTTTGTGGCACACTGTTCTGGTGGCACTATGCTCTTGTGACACACTGTTCTGGCGGCACTATGCTTTTGTGGCACACTGTTCTGGTGGCACTATGCTCTTGTGACACACTGTTCTGGTGGCACTATGCTTTTGTGGCACACTGTTCTGGTGGCACTATGCTCTTGTGACACACTGTTCTGGTGGCACTATGCTTTTGTGGCACACTGTTCTGGTGGCACTATGCTCTTGTGACACACTGTTCTGGTGGCACTATGCTTTTGTGGCACACTGTTCTGGTGGCACTATGCTCTTGTGACACACTGTTCTGGTGGCACTATGCTTTTGTGGCACACTGTTCTGGTGGCACTATGCTCTTGTGACACACTGTTCTGGTGGCACTATGCTTTTGTGGCACACTGTTCTGGTGGCACTATGCTCTTGTGACACACTGTTCTGGTGGCACTATGCTTTTGTGGCACACTGTTCTGGTGGCACTATGCTCTTGTGACACACTGTTCTGGTGGCACTAGGCTCTTGTGACACACCGTTCTGGCGGCACTATGCTTTTTTGGCACACTGTTCTGGTGACACTATGCTCTTGTGACACACTGTTCTGGTGGCACTATGCTATTGATCGGGTTTCGACTCTCTCATCGTTGGTTTTATTTTAATTCACTTACCGGTACTTGGTTGTTTTTTTCCCACCTTAAGATTAAGGATATGTAATGTTATTATTTCATTTTGAACTGCAACTTGATTTCAAACCGTTAGTGATATAGCGTGTAAAAAGAATTTAGGAGATTTTTCTGTTTTTGTCTATATATGGCATAAACATTATCTACTACTAGTAACTACTAATTTGAAGTACTACCGTACTAAATTATTACCGTAAGTAATAGATTTTTGTTGAAATTAAACTTTAATCAAAAAGTAAAAAATTATGTTCTTCTTATCCATTCAGCATATACACGTTATAGTTATAGGTGTAAAAACTTTTTTTTTTTTTTTTAAACTAGGAACTAGCACGTTTCAATGTAAAATAAAATAAAAAACGGCAAATTATTATTTTAATGATGGGGTTGCTTATCTCGATTTCGTGGCGCTTGTTTTCCCAGATCAAGCAATTCCTTTCAATTTCAACTATAATTTCAAATACAAAATTTAAGAAAATTCTAGTTAATTATATTAATTTTCTTTTCGCCTTTACTAATTCAATTCATTCCCCCCCCCCCCACCCACAACCAACCAAAAAAAAATGAGTTTGTTACAATCATTACTGAATCTTTGTACCGGTACAAGGAATTTGAAAGTTCAAAACTTAATTATTTAAAATTATTAATATTAAAAGTAAAAGGGTATAGGTTATTGAGACTATGCTTTTGAATGCATTCGAAAATGATAGTATCATAGTAGTAGTCTCGAGGTTTAAAATGCCATAGCATTTTAGAATTATGTTTAGTTGAAACCAAGCACTACTCAGTCGAATAGTTAAAATTAAACGCTATATCCCGGTACGCTCTTTTATAATAATACGGTACGCTGTATACAGGTACGGTACTTAACAAACTTATCTCAGCAAAACAAAAAAAATAATACAGTTAGTTTAAAATTTGTTACCGTATCGTTAATTAAGTGTTTAGCCTAAAATTATTATAGATGTTACAAGTTACACTGCATTTGTAGACTTAAGGGGGGAGGTACACCCTCAACATAGGTCGACTACTAAAAAATTCACCAAAAAAACAACTATTACCGGTATTTTAAGTTACAAGTGTCAAATTTTCACTGGAACTAGAGGAATAGTTATTCTAACATAATAACACATAAAATAACAATTTAAAAGTCCAACATAATGGTTTGCTTACATTGAAAAAAAAAGAAAAGAAAAATGGGATGCTGGATGTTTTAAGCTCAAATGTATTATAGTTTTTTAACCATATAGTTATGGATTAGCTTTGGCGACAACTAGGAAAAATGTAATTTATGGAATAATTTTTGTATTACAGCATCCCAAAGTATCTTAATTTTTGACATTTTAAAATCAAACTTTGATGGATTGTAAAATTTTTACTTATTAATGTATTACAATATCCTTAGTTGCTGACATAGACAAGTATAAATATATAGCAACTTGCAAAATGTTAAACATATAGGTTGATATTTGAAAAATTTATAATTTTTTATAATTACCGGTGTATGAATTAAACGTCGAAATTTTGTGAATGAACGCGCAATAATTTTGTTCATTAGGTAAATAAATTCTCTATAAATTCATATCTAAAGAACTATTTAACCTAAATTAAAAATGATTACACATAATTGTGCAGAATTGAATACACTTTAATCTGATATCACTGGTTACTGCAGAATCGAAAAATGGCTTTTTTCACTTTTTCTCAGTGTACCTCCCCCCTTAATATATTTCTGATAAGTGAATTGAGCTCAGAGGCGTAACTATGGGGGCAGAAGGGGAAAAAATGAGCAATGGTGATCAATTTTATTGATAAAAATAGTTACGCCTCTGACCGAGCTTCGCAGATTATCAATGATTTTGTTTTGTCTTAACTCTTAATACTTTCTAATTAGTAATATGCATGTGTAAACTGAAGTAAATACATGTAAATTAAATGTGACAATCTACCCAACAGTATGTGACAAACAACCCTGTGGAAAGCACAGTGTATGCACGCATGGGGGGAGGGGGGGGGGCAAAAAAGTACCATGCAACTTTTTTGCATATCTGTAGGTACTATTATAGTACCGGTATAAGTTATAGTATACCGGTAACTATATGGATGGTAACGCCAATATCTCTACTAATAAAGCCAACTGCCACCGACAAATCTGTGCAATTCATAATTTCAAAGTAACGTTACTGGTACCTGTATCTTCAAAATGGCTACGAAAATAGAATAAAAAAGACAAATTATCGTCATACTATTGCTTGGACTTGGAGTCATCACAAATAACTCCCTAGATATAGCTACAATAATATTTAGATTAGTGACAACCCACTGTACACCTCTCATTTTCAGTGGGCATGAGGTAAAGAAGATTGAAGGATTTCAATTTTGCTGCTTAGAGAACTGGCACCAACTAAATGTATTGTGAGCACATCAGCAAGAATTATGAAAAATGATTTTTGGTTGACATTAGAACAGAAGTTTATAAATGATTAAATCAAAATGTCTCCTGAAACTATCCATTAAAATGTGTCTATCCGGTAATTACGCCTTTTTTTTTTCCCCCTCAGAATACAGGTACCCATACTGGGTAAGTTTTTATTTGTATGCTTGCTCCACGAAGTGTTCTTGAAGCTTTTATTTATTTTTTTTTTAATTTTAAGGCTCATTAATCTAAAAATGGAAAATGTATGCTTTCTTAAAGAAAATTTCACTTAACACAACATATAAATATAAAGTATAATATTTTGGGGGAGGGAAAAACATTTATGAAACATGCACAAGTAATAATTTAAATGCAGAATTATAAAGAATGAAAAGTCTGGCAGCATGGATTTAATTTCAAAAAGAAACTCAAACATCTCAGCCTGTTTGATCATGCTGCATCCAACAATATAATTGAAACACATTATCATACAAGAGAAAAATAAACCAACGGAAATAAGAGTTGATTTTTTTTTATTACCATAACAGTACATATAACTATGTTAATAATCTTTAATAGATACTGTATATTACAGAATATAAGACTAGTACATCTCAATAAAATTATAGTAATTACCGTATAGGCCTACAACAATAAAAATGCATAGAACTATTTCATACCTGTACCATACCGGTACTTTAAATATAAGACGCAGAAACTTAAATCTTAATAAAACAGAATGATTACCCGGTATTCACAGGTAGTAGTAGTATGAATCAAGGTTGGAAATTAGAATCAAAGGTTTAGTCAGAAAAGTAGCAGTAGACAACTAATAAATATCCATGTCTACACACTGATGTCAGATTAGGAGATTTTGTGTCTGTTACCAGACTCTAAGTTAGCTGCTTATGGGGATGGGTCTTTACAAATCAGGTGATTAGAACCAAAGGGTGAGGGGGGTGAAATGAAAGAAAAAGATCAAAAAAAATATCAACTGATTGAACATAAATAATAAGTGTTAGCGAAAAGGGTTGTTTCCAGGGCTAGAAATGGATAGATCAATAAGATTAATAAATTTAAAAGCCATACATAGATTTGGGGCTTGACCATAGCTGATCATTATATATCTCATTCATCCAGCCGAGTTGCATATAACATTAATAGAGCTGACCAACTGCCTCATAATGATGTAATGTCAGCATGGCCTAAACTATGAGCCAACTTTAGCTATCAACTCATCACATATTGCTGTTAGTTCTTGGTTTTCTTTTTCCTAGATTCAAAATAATAATATTTTATATGAGACTACTAAAATAAATTATTAAAAAGAAATACATTTTTGCAATCCCTAAATTATTTGTCAAATGCTGATTTTGCACATTAAAAAATTTCCACATAAATCCTATAAAATCCATTATGCTAACTCTCATTAATTTTTTGAGTTTCAATGAGTTATTTTAATAATCATTACCATATTAATTAATTCAAAATAAAAAAGGAATTTGTAAGTGGGATGAAAAAGCATTCTGGGATTAAAACTTTTCTCTTAATAACTGATATACAATTAGAAAATCATTAAACATAAACATTAAAAAAATTCAGAAAATATAATGGCAGGAAAACACGATTTCTACCTTTTTTTTTAAAAAATCGTGTTTAAATAATTCATAGGAAGAAAAGGTACCGGTATCGCTAACATGGTTTAAGTTGGTTTTATCATGAAATCATTTTTTGCATCTCACACTTTTTTAATCTTTGATTTCCCTGTAGATGAAGATTTTGGCTGTTTTTTGCGCTTTTTTGTCTGGATGACCTTAAATGTATTCCAAACACTTTCGTCATTATCATCTTCAGTATTTTGCTTTTCTGATTGGTCTGATAAGTTACTACTATTTTCAGAAGTTAGATCAGCTGTCTTTGATTTTGGATACCATTGTGGACCAACAACATTTTCATCAAGTAATGACTTGGATGAAAATAGCAGACAATTAACTTGAGACTGCATATATATTGAATGCAACTGCTTTTTGTTTAAATTAACATCATAAAATCTCACATAGCGATCAATCCCACATGCAGCAAACAAAGGACATGAATTATGAAATTTTATATCTGTAACTCCACCACTTGGACCTTTAAAGTGTTGAATTATGTCTTTTTTTCGAAGATCAACTAAAGCAAGAGTTCCTGTTGTAGTACCTACAACCAACTGGTTTTCAAAACTGGGTCTCAGTGCCAGTGCAGTTATTGGATCTTTGCAACCTTTTAACTGAACTTCTATCACAGGTCTCCTTTGAGCAGATGGATCATATAATCGAATTTGAGAATACCCAGTACCGGAGACTATCTTGCTAGTATGTGGGACAAACTCAGCTGTCATTACCCAAATGGGTACACGTAAATTCAACCAGTCATTTGGCATGTTTTTTGCTGTAAAAATTGGTTGCTCAGGAGATGTAATGTCCCATATTTTCAAAGGATTTTCTTTTCCACCAGTTGCTATCTGACTTCCTAAAGAAATATTATGATCCATGCAGAATAAATCTTGTCCAGCATTTAATGCAACAGCAGTAGCTCTTTGATCCATTACCATATTCCCTGATTGTGAAGATTTGCTCAATGCATAGTTATTACAATCCACTTTACCATTGCTAAAAGCAGTCACTACAAGTGAATTACCATAACTTCGAATAGATCTGAGAAAAGACTTGTCTTCTGTTAGTTTCGTTGATACATTTATTACTGTCCCATCATCCAATGAATAATTTAAAACTCGCCCATCTTTGTGACCAGCTAAAATAAAACTTTCTTTTTCGTTATCCCACCAGCATATGTCAACAATTTCATTTCCTTTCACTGGTACTTCCACGGAATTAATGTTGACAGGAGATTTGTTTGAAAAAGAGCATCCTTTCAAAAACCCTGTATTTGTTCCAGCAAATACAGCGTAGGGCTGTTCAGAGGATAAATTCGTTGGAGCATTCATTTTGAGAGCGATTGAAGGCATGGGGGTTGCCATTTTATTACAAGTAAACAGGAAGTCGATAACTGATGTTTAAAAAGATAAATGATTTTTATAAAACAATTCATTAAATAGTAATATTATATTTTGGAATAGAGTAATTAAGAACATATTTTCAAAAGATTATATAGTAATTTAACCTTAGTTTAACCATAAGTATTTTTATGTGGGGTGGGGGTTCGTTTCTTATAATTACAAGTCTTATTACCAACCGAACGATCAGAGCGCCTTGCCGAATAGGACAAGAGGCATATGGACAGAACAAAAATCAGGCTTCGCTCTTCGGAAAATTGTGGCATATCTTATCCAACGGTGGATTTTTATAGAATTTTTTTATTGTAATTGAGGGAAGCGTCGAGAAACAAAGCGTGAATGTGGCTGGTGGTGGCGGGGATGACCTAATATCTACCAATAAAATAACTTGATTTATGGAAATTGCTTCAAAAAGTGTTTTTTTCAAAGTTACTAATTGCAAATATGTTGTTAGTTCTGGTTCTGGTAATGTTTCGTTGCTGCATCCATGTACTGGCATCTTTGCAACGGTTGGGGGTATGATGTTGCTATTCTAACAGCTCCTAGCTGATGCCAGGGCAGCCTTGAAGCTTTCGACCGATGTCGAGTTCACAGTGGCATCGTTCAGGTGGTTCCATGCTATTATTGTGCGTGGGAAGAAAGATTGTTGATACTGCACTGTGTTGCACTGAGGCACTTTGAAGCATTTGCTATTGTTTCGGGTGTAATTTTGTATGGGAATTCAGTGGTGAAGTCAGTGTTCATTGAGCGTTTTGCTCTGATCAGTCTACCCAACTTCTGTGGGGCGAGGTACGTGGCTGCTGGGATGGCCGGCACCAGTCCCATCTCTACTTTATATAAGAATATCAGGCGGAGTCCCTGTCGTACCGTTGCCGGCATTTGAAATCTTCAATCATAATAAATATTCTGTTATTTACTTATTTTGCTTTTAACAATCGTCAGTTCTAGTTTTGATTTTGAGATCTTTTGCCGTTTTTATCAAATCAAAATTTGTACTGTTAATAACTTATATTTTAACAAATGTCCGCATGATCTATTGGATCCTAATCAAGTTAGTTGACTGAAACACAACACACTTCATAAATAAGTGTATTTCACCTTTAGTTTTTACTCTTATTGACACAGTTTTTAAATATTTGTTTAATGTCGCTATTAGTATAAACAAGTGGAATACTTTTTTTTTTAAAAATACGTTGAAACATTATTTAAAACATTTAACTAAACAATTTTTGTTGAGTTTATTTATAATTCAAGCACCGTGGTGGGTCGGAGAAGTTTATACACAGCACTCAACGTAAGCATTATGTTAATTGCTAAAGAATTTTTTAGGCATCATTTTTAAGCAAAAGAGTCCCTGTGCTACGTTAGGTTTAGTCCAGAACAGGGTTCGACAACCTTTTGTGAATGAAGAGCTAATTTTATAAATTTTATGAACTGAAAATATTTTGTGAGTCGCATGTCATTAAAGATTAGTAAACGAAATAAAAACAACCCCTAAAAAGTTTTAAAAAAAATATAAATCCTTTATAAAATGCTGTAATATCTAGCTATGGGGGGTGGGGTGGGATTGAAAATTTGACAAAAATGCATTCAAGTAGGGGGCGTCCATTAATTACATCAACAATTTTTACGCAATTGTGTACCCCCCTCCCATACTTGTCAACAACTGTCAAACTTTCAACTATCCCCCCTCCCCCATTCTAATTAATTATGTCAACATTTTATACCACCACACAAAAAAATACAACAAATGAATTATAATTATAATATAAATAAATACATATAATTAGAAATCGCCTACATTTTACTTTGTGTTGATCTATTTAAATGACACATACAATTGTATGAAAAACGTTTTATTACATCTTTAGCTTGTTAGTCAACAAGTTAAAAATTTTACACTTAAGTTTTATAATGCAGAATCAAATAGAAGGTTGTTTAAGACTAAACATCATTGTTTGTGGAAATACAAATGTGATTATTGTAAGTATAGCTGACAATTGTAGTATAGTTTCTAGCTGCTATCATCTACCCATGGAGTAGCCAAGTGTTGTTCTATCGCAGGCCTGCACAACATACGGCCCGCGGGCTGCATGAGGCCCGCCTGCAACCACTTTGCGGCCCGCGGGGTAACGAAATAGTATTTATTCTGATTATTTCCTTAATAGCCCCCCACCTGTCCTAATGTTTTTTTAGCCCGCACAAGTCCTGTCCTATTTTCTTTTGGCCCGCACAAGTTTTTCATAAAGTATTACGGCTCGCCTTACAGTTGAGTTGAGCAGGCCTGCTCTATCGTAACAATGGGGATGATAGCTGATTTATCATTTTCATCTTGCGGAACTGATATACCAGACAACTCAACATCATCCTCATCTAACCATTCAGCGCTTAAAACAGAAGCATTGTCAGTGTGAGCAATAATTCCCATAATTTCTCCCTGTCTCCTGGCAGCTACTTGTATCGGTCGAATCCTTTTTTGTTGAGGAGCAGGTGGCAATTTCTTATGCTCAAGAGTGCATTGTCGATGCTGTTGAACACGTTTTTTCAACATGACTTGTGATGCAAAATAGTAGTTAAAGATTTTGCAAATCCGCTCAAGCAGCGACGTTATTATTGTTACTCACTTTACTTTCCCTTAATTATAAAAATATCGTATTCATACTCTATCATTATCATTTATCTTGACTGCGCAGGACACTTGAACCTTGTCCTCGTTCCATACCTGCAACATGATCGCAAACATACCGACCTAGTCATTTGCGACAAACAGAATCTACAGGTGAAGAGAAGCCAACTTTTGACTTCTCTTGCACTAACAAAGTGTGTTAACATTCTGACCAGCCCTCAGCAGTGCGCAGGCAGACACACATTAAATAAATTTTATATTGTTAAAAGCCTAAAATTATATGACTATTTTCATTCATTAATCTTTTTTAAAATATTGTCAAAAACAGTCAATTTGTAAGATTAAAATTTTAATAGAGAAAACATGATTGTTGACGTCAATTAATCCAAACCCCTCCCCCTTGTCAACAATGTCAAAAATCCCCCCCCCCTTTTTTTTTTGTTAACATAATTATTAATTGACTAAGCCACTTTATAAGAATCCAATTTTTTTCCACGCCCCAGAACTATATTAATACTCTAATGACCCGTCCGCTTTTACACCGCAGATTTATTATAACAAATATTTCAGAAAATATTACGCACCAAACGCACTTGCGATATTTTTATTAAAATAATCTAATTTGGCGCAGTTATCGGGAATTATATTTCATGAAATCAGTGGCATCATCATCATATTTCCTCCTTCTTTCCTTTGTAAAACACGAACTTATTTCAGAGGGTGGGGCTGTCATCAATGATTCGACCAAATTTCCGTTCGATCAAATTACTGTCGATCAATTTACAGTCGACGACATTTCTTTCGATCAAATTTCCGGATACGAAATTGCATAGATAACATTGAAGCGAATGCAATGTAAACTTTCATTTTTCAGAAAATTGTCCTTACGGAAGGAAATGTGTTGAGTCTTGATGACAAAGGGACAGCAGTGCAATGGCTGCGTCCTAAAGACTTGGTCCCAAAGTCGGAGGGTGTAGCACGGATGTGGCTGCGAAGAATGATATCTGGTAGATTTTTATATCTTCTTGACACAATGAGAGGCGGGGGCTGAAAAATATGTTGTATATGTCAGGATCAGCGAGGAGAATGACATGGTTTTTAAGGGAAACTAGTCACTAGTTTTTGAAGTCACTAGCACGAGTGAAATTTTTAACCCTTTGAAGTTATGATGAAACACTGTCTCCAGAAATAGTCAATCGTCTCAAGTGCTTTTCTGATCCTGATAGACTACGTTGCTGCAACCAAGTACTGGCATATTTATAAAAAAAAAAAATTAAAGTAATCTTACAAATAGGCTTTGTCCTAAAAGTCACGCTGACTGGTAAAGTCGACGAAGAAGAAGTACCGTAGTTGAGAAAATGGAATAGAGCCCTTACATGATTTTGGGTAGGAAGAAGAGTATAGTAAAGATATGTGGATGTCAGTATGTTTAAATATGTTGAAGATTTGCAAGCCGAATTTATGAAGAGTACCCATACTGTCCAAAAAGTTAACCAAGATTTAAGAAACATGTGATGTGAATTTAATGGCGGGTAAAAAGAGCCTGCAAAGTTGATGAAAAAATGAAAATTCAGGAAGGCGTCCAGTGTAGTCTCTTTCCACCATGTTTTCAAAATGTCCCATGAACAAACATGCGTAAATGGGTCCCATTTTAATCCTCATAGCAACAGGCCCGATGTTGTCGAAAAATTTGGCCATTTGAATTGACGGGGGCCGAAAACCGAAAAGTGGAGAGGCGCCTTCGAAATTCATGCGACGGCTCTGTTAAATCATGAATGGTGTAAGTACATGTTTTCGGCCACTTGGTCTGGTCAATAAAATAATCCTTCTATTTCAATTCCTATAACACATAATTACATCTACTACATCTTGGTCAAAATCAAGAGGGGGCGCCAGGAGCATTTTGAAGGATGAAAAAATATCATTTCTATTGCTATTGGCCCCGAATCAAGAATTGTTTCGAAGAGAACGATATCGGGGATTCAAAACTTTATAATTTACTACATGACTAAGCTGTGTAAGAAATAACAATCTCAGTGTCAGTTTAAGATGTTCGGAACTAGAGAAATAAGTGTTCAAAATACAATTTTAGCGAGCAATTGTGAAAAATCATTCTTTAACAAATTTCTCGTTTGCCTCATTGGAGTTTACACTACGTTTTAATAATGTGTCTTGACAGAAATATTAATTTGGTTGTTAAGAAATTATCTGGCACTTTGGGCGGCGCGAGAAAACAAAACAAAAGTGTGACACGACTTCGTCTGAAAAATTGTTAACATAATGTTTACAACAATTTACATATTACATTTATTTAGATAACATACAATTAGGTGACCTAC